GTTCTAAGTAATATTGATCGATTCTCTTCGTCGATTTTCTATTTCATTAATAACATGAGCACATAACCATTTCTTGTTGTGTTCGGTGTGCTGAAAATACCTGGGAATGTCTTGACATGGCCGTGGAGATACAAAGAGAAAGTCGACGGAGATAATCAGTCAATGTTACTTAGGACCTAATGCAATGTTAAGCTTGAATTCTCGTTTTTATCACAAGGCTAACTCTTTCGACTGAAGTGTAATAAAGAATATCCGTCAAACAGTTCCGAAAACATTTTTTGATACAAAACAGTGTCAAAATCTGGAGAAAATTCATAGTCCCCTGGGTAGCAAACTTGAATTAATCAACTCTTTATTCATCAGAACAACACTATCAGAATAAACCAGGGGAAGCTCATAAGTTTAGACAGGCGCACCGGCGCAACTATCGGTAATTGAGGGATTCACAACTGACAAGAGAGTGAGAGCGGCTTTTGCGCTCTCTTTCTCCATTACTCTCTTTATCTGCAATCAGATATCCAAGTGCACAGCGAGAAATGCACACTTTGGGCACCCATACATCACAAATGTTCTTCTAATTTAAACTCACACATTCAACCCGGTCTGCAAGTATGATAACGTCCAAAGCGTACCAGACTGATGTTTCCGTGTTGCTCCCGTTTGACGCGTAGCTGCTGAAAGCTTCAATTACAACCAGTGGTGCAAACCGCCATGTATTGTGGAAAATTTGTGGTATGTTTCAAGAGGTGATAGAAGGTCTGCTTGGCTTACATGAGGCATTGACCATTCACAAACTTGCCACCCCCACCCAAAAAAGCTCGCTTTTAGGTGCACTATTTAACGAGTTTTGTCATGGTAGTGTTATCGACATGCTTAGAAATCAATGCATTAGGGATTAGGCAGACCATCCGAACTGAATTTAACCCTTTTCGAAGCAAACCAAGGTCGAAGATTTAATTGAACCACACTATAAAATAGTGTATTCATGGTCACTTGTGGTCTGGAGTAAAGAAGTACAGCTATAATGTGACCATTAAAAACTATAAAAATCTAAACGCATTTTTTAAAATTATTTACACCTGTGTCGTGCACAGGTTGCACATGTGGACGCGACGCCACTGGTCTAACTCAAAACGAAAACAATGACTTGGATCGTCGGTTTCTTGGTCGGTTTATTACGAATGACAATACACCCACTCAAACTAACTAAATCATCTGACAGAGAAGTGTAGTCAGATTCCGTGGGTGTGTGGTCATTCAAGAGAAATCGACGATCAAAGTCATTGTATACGTTTCGAGTTATACCCTTCTGACATGTTTCCCCTGATCTCTAGATAGAGCTGGAATTAGGGCGTAACAGCTTTTGTAAACAATGACTTCTATCGATGATTTCTAGGAACTCAAGGCACGCCCACGCATACCAACATAACCATCAGATAGGGGAAGGCGAGCCTTGAATTTCTAGAAATCATCGATAGAAGTCATTGTTTACAAAAGCTGTTAGGCCCTTATTCCAGCTCTATCTAGATATAACCGATTACAAATATTTTACTTTTTGATTCCTTAATCGAATAATCGATTATTCGAATAAAAATCGGACATCACTAGTTGAATGTGAGACGTCATATCACAAATTACGTCCCCACGGTAGCTGAAAAAAAACACGACTACTGACCGGTTGGTATTTCCTTTTCTTCGGATTGGAGGTTTTCAATCCAGATCCAGAATGTTTTGTCTTTCCCGGCGGACGACGGTTTTGACGTAGGACTACGTCTGTGATTTCTATATGGGGGTACACCATAGAGGTAACTCTAAGACTAGAAGGTCCCGAAGAAACGTGCTCAACTATGCCAAAAATCAGCTCTTGTACTCTCTTCGGTCCCAAGCTAAACGATGAACCCCTCGAAACATAGGAAAATCCACGAACCCCTCATTTTATCTGTCAAACTTTCATAGCGAATCAAAACAAACATAGTTTAGTACTAGAATTTCGACTAGAATGGGGTACGTTAATCGATTTGCTTGGGACCAATAGGCTAGTCAAGTAGTGAGCCAATTTTAAATCGTTAGTTTCCACTGGTTGGGTACACTTTGTGAAATCCAAAAATGGAACATGTAACGAAATTATGAAAGATTTTGAACATTAATAACTCAGCTGCCCCTGGATCAATTTCAATAATTTTATCACCAATCGATCAGAAATATGTCTACGCATCGATTTTCAACACGAAACCATTAAAAAGTGGTAAATGTCAAGCATTGTCCAAAAGCGCTGAAATAACTAAAAAATCTACCAATTACGTACGTGCATATGCTGTTTCCCCAACACTGTCATCAGAGAATCGTTTCTAGCCGAAACATGTCGATGTAGCATTGCTGCTTACCCAACATTGTCATCAGAGAGTCGTTAGTAGACGAAACAAGTCGAAGTTGCATTCGCCTTCGATCTTCGAGCGTGTGCGAATAGGAAGGTTGCAATTGTGTAGCATTTTGCACACTCATCGCCATATTCTCAACCACACGCCCCCATCGACCACACAAAATGCTCTCCAGAGTTGTAATCTTGTAGTAACCAAACTTGGAAGCAGTGGTGCAAGTGATTTTGATCGATTCTCTTCATCGACTTTCTGTTTCGTTAATACCTCGTCGGAAAACACATTCGTTGATACGTTTGTTGTTCTGGTTGATAGAAGAGCATAGGATAAATAGTGCAAAACACGTTAGTGAAGCCATGGTCATCAAAAGAGGAAATCGATGAAGATAATTGACTTTCACCCCTCTGATTCTAAGCCCCTTAATTCAATCCTCGTCATAGCAATGGAAACTAGCATCGCGCCGCTTTTGGTTCTTGGGTTACACTTGCTGGTAATATTTTTCCAGCTATTCGATTAAATATTTATCGAATTTTCAATTATCCGAGCGCATAACCGACATCCTTACATATTTCTATTAGTATGATTTAGCACAGTAGAGAAAATAAATAAAAGTACTAACTTATCTGAACAGTCATAGATAAAGAAACATGACGTGCAACAGGATCATAAATTCGCCGAAAAAAGTGTGAGGGGTCTTTCTGCTAAAGGCTAAGATCTACCAACTTGTTGAGAGAAAGAGTTTAATGAGAAAAACTAAAAAGGGGAGCAGCTTTAGCTGGGTGGACACTGATATTCTGCCGTCTTCCAACCTGTCGTAGACACCAGTTCAACCCTTGTCCAGCAGCAGACAGGCCGAGACTCTTGCGAGTGCCCAATCATTGAACCGAAGAATATGGGATTGTCCGGTCCGATTTGTTGATTCAGTTGCCCACACGGCATCATCATCTTCCAAAGACTTTAAGTCTGTAGTACCATCGGCCCTTTTCAGGGTCACCAAGATTTTCCAAAAGAGTTAAATTTCTGAACATGTTACAAATGAAATTCATACTCCGATCAAATTCATATTCCTACACAAAACACAAGCTACTTGACTAGCCTATTGGTCCCAAGCAAATCGATTAACGTTCCCCATTCTAGTCGAAATTCTAGTACTACACTATGTTTGTTTTGATTCACTATGAAAGTTTGACAGATAAAATCAGGGGTTCGTGGATTTTCCTATGTTTCGAGGGATGCATCGATTAGCTTCAAGGGGGGAGGTGGCTGTCAAATACGAACTATCGTCGCCTACCTCGCATGCCTCGCATAACTGGTTCCAAACGTAAACAAGCCATAAGAAACCTACAGCGATTGTTTACGTTTAGAGCCAGTTTCATACAAGAATGATCAGTAGGCTGATTTGACAGCACGTCCCCCCCAGATTAGCTTAGGACCGAAGTGAGTACCAGAGCTTAGCCAAAAAGTTGAGCACGTTTCTTCGGGACCTTCTGGCCTTAGAGTTACCTCTATAGTATTATCGACGAGGGCCAAAATCACGCAAATATCAGTATTCCTATATTTTTGGAAGAATATTTATAAAGTCGTTGTGACACATCGAAATTGAATGAAATTTAGTATGATTAATATAAAGAAATTATCTAAGTAAGTATCGATTAATAAAGATTTTTAAATACAGTCATCGAATTCAAAGAAACTTAAAAGTTAAGAATTATCGACATAAATCTTTATTTTTGAATAAAGAACTTTGAATAAATTTCACGAATGGTTGGTCGAGATGGGATCTATCAATCAACACATAGAATGAATAAACCTTTTCTAAGTAACATTACTATGTAATAAGATAGCTCAAATAAACCGTACATGACTATTTGTTTCAGTGTAGGGATTTTGGACTTTCATATAGCTAATAATAATTGAATGATTCAAGATTACGTAATTTAACTGGGTAGCGGATTTTTTTCCCTGAAAAGCAATGATAGCGCCAATGTAAAAATCAGACGATAACTACAATGACATTTGGACAAACAACAGTAAAAGAGACTGACCCAAAGCAACAATCTAACATGCATGCACGCATCTCTCGGTCAGGTCAAAATTCTTAACAGAGAAAAAATCTCCCAGAGAAGCAAAAAGTCGGTTTGAGCCTGTGTTTGAGTACACCGATGTCACACACACACACACACACACACACACACACACACACACACACACACACACCTTTAAGTGCCGTTTGATAAGCTGATAACAAGCACGAACGCTAGATGAAGCTTTCCCTATGCCATCAAGGTAAATCCGTGTACGAAACCTAATCAATCTGTGATTATTATTTTCCGCTGATCGCTCTCTTTCACATGGCATGCTTGTTGGGCTTGATGCCGACCGGACCGGACCTACTACGATTGAAACGTCTCAGAGCGGAGCAAGACGATCATAAAAATAAATAAACAGATGATGATGCCACCGTCGGCACTTCCTTTCCCCCACACCAGACCACACTGTCCGTCGTCCGAGTGATGTAATGTCCACAAACAACCCTCTCAGTTTGTTTGTGGAACGGCGCATGCGCCGCCCCCATACTTATCTCCCAATCGCACACGTCGTAGTTGTCCGTTCAAATAAATCGGAGAAGGTTGTTTGCCTACTAACTACCCAGTACGGAGTTCTGAGAGTCGCCTCTTAGTAGGTATTCTCATTTCTGCCTCGCAGCTGGTTCCCGAGGGCTGCAGCAAAATCGGATCGGTTTTGAGGAGGCCCACCAACAGTAAAGGTTCCTTCTTGTCCCCAAAATAAAGTTAAAAAAGAAACTACTTTATCAGGTGTCGGTTTTTCGTTCCTCCGGAGGAGCCTCCTCAAATCGCGCTAACTAATCGCTTCGGACTCCGGTCGCCAACAATTTGCCAGATTGGGCAAAGTGGAAAAAATTTTCACTCGTTTCTCGCGGAGTGTGCAGAAGGTGAAAAACGTGTGCTAGCAGCGGGCAGAAGTAAAAGTTTCCCGACACGGGAAAAAAGGTTCATTTCCTGCCAATTAATCAGGACTCTCCTCGGGATCCGACAACGATGGAAATGGAGCACCATTACCCCAAAGGAAAGCAGTAAAAGGCAAAAGGTGGCACGACACCGACCGACCGACGACGGATCGAATCCAAAAATAACGCAGGAGCAGAAAATAATCATCTAATAAACTAAGCAACCATGTCGTCGCTGGAGCAGGATAGCAACGCTCCAGTGGATCCAAGAGTGCAGGTAAAAGCAGTGACATTTTGGAATCGAATCATGCATGCTAGCAGATACAGGTTATAGCGAAAAGTGTAGTTTTTTGCTACCCCACCCCCGTAAGCGTGAGGGGGGTGAGATGTAGCGGGTGGTAATGACGCTAAGAAACAATCAACACCTTGCGTCGCGCGTTGCTTTTTCTCGCCGAACCGTGCGTCAACGCTTTTTTGTTGTTGCTATATAGATGCTCTCATCGTCGCATAAATATATTACCTCTGTTGATTGGCTTTTATTGAAGCATGTCGTCGCGTTGGTTGTGTTGCTGGTGAGTGGAGGTGGGAATCGCTGCACTCCTTACGCTGCCAACATATACATACCTACCACTAGTGTTTAAAAGAGGGGCCAAGAATTGCAAGGATGTTCCTTCATCCGGGTGCCACCATGTATGGAAATTGGAGCCAAGTAAATGCATCTGTGCATAGCCGAAGTGTACAAAAAGGATGTTGTATAATGCACCTGCATTGGTGATATAATTTTAATGTGAGCTTTTGCCATTGAATAGCTGCCAAACAAAGGGATATGGGAATTTGTTTATTTCTTTGGAAAATTTCTAGAAAAGCTGCAAGCGCATTAAATCATTGGCAAATATCGTGAATTTCTTGAAAATTGAAAAAAGTTATCTAGGGTAAATGGCGGCTTCGGCACCCATTGACTGTTTTCGACAACAAAAATGTATACGGTAATTTCACTGTATTTTCTCACCAAAACGCTTCGCTGAATGTAATCAAAGCATTTCTTAGACATTCAGTTTCAATCTGATAGGGTTTTTATGACTGAGCAAAAGCATTTTTTCAGTTTTTTTCATGAAATAAAACGCATGCACTACAAAATGTTGCCGATCAGTGCTGCAAAATCTCGACAATACACGGTGATATTCAAGATTCTCATTTGGTCACTCATTTGAGCTAATAGTCATCATCAAAGCAAATCCTGTTAATTGTCAATGGAAATACTGTCAGAGACATGTAGATATTTCTTTTAACTAAATTTGTGACGAAATTAAATGGCTTGAGCAAAATAAATACATGGAGCCGTTTAATTGAACAATTATCTACGTCCTGAACTACTTGGATAACAATAATGTGACACAGAATGTACAAAATTACACATTTTGTTTCCAGGTGAATCTTTTTCATTGACGAAAAACTGAATGAGATTTTGACGAAGGTTTTTTTTTGAGGATCAAGTCTGTCAGCAGCGTTGCCAGTATTCCAGATTTATCTGGATTTTCCAGATTAGCAGTCGTCTTGGCAGATACATATATTTTTCCAGATTCTTTAAATATGTTCAAAATTTCCCCAGATTTTTAAAATGTGTTACTTTTAAATATCAGTGTAATTGATGGCCTCTAACCAAAAAACTAAACAGCCAAACTTAAAACTTTAATTATTAAAGGCTATCAACGTAGGACATTATTGCAACATCATAGGCGAAATGGCTCTAATGTTGACCTATGGAGCTAAGATTGGGCCCTTCGCTAAAAATCTGTTATTTATCAATTTTATCTAGATGAACGCGGCGTGGATATTTTTTGGTTGCTTTTGAAAATTTAGTCGATTACTGAATTTATGAATAGCCCTAAATTAGGGGCATTTAGGCCGACATTACATCCATTTCCATTCCATTATATTTTTTTTTATTTTTTGGTTGTATGTAATTGATTTTTTTATAATCCGGGATTTATGAAAATCAAACTTAAATAAGGAGGAATTTCCCTAATTTTTGAATTTAGGGAAATCGAAAACAGTTCAGGATTGAAAACAAAAAACTGAGCTTTGGGAAATTAGCAAGGCTTTAGAATCTAGACAACCGTCAGGACTTTGAAGTATGTTCGTGATATTTTTGAGGACAATTAATTGGATTTTTAAGGAGAATTTTAAAAGCATCTGATAATTTTAGGCATTTTTTAAGTACATGTGAATATTGAGCTACCTTTACAATCTTAAATACTTTAGAATTCTGAATTGCCCTAGAGTTCATAATTTTAAAGTAATTCTGAAAATAGTTTATCGCGAAATTTGGGTATGCAGTCTGTGCAACCTCTGTTTGAAGACGAAGTCAATTGTCTTTTAAAAACTCTGATGAAAATTGCATGGAGATTTTGTGAAGATAGGAAATAGTTAGAATACGGAAGATAAATCTTAGAAAATTCTTAAGATGAAACTTAAGGAGATTGCTGATAGGAATCGTGCGAATAATTTCAATGGAATTCTATCCAATGTTTCTATAAAGGTTAATTTTTAATTTTTTTTTGAGAAATCTGGCAATTGCTGGGAGACTTTCAAGGTCATTTTGGCAAAGTACTTGAGTACTTAGCAAATACTGAAGAGGGTTTCAAAACAATTCTGACCTTACCTACAAAACAGTTCAAAGGATAAGTCTGAGAAGAATATGACGGTAATTTTGAAAAGTGTACCAAGGAAATTATCTAGAATCTTATAAAAAAACGTTTGGTTGTTATCAAGATTAGTGATACTGCGGTGCGGAAATGTTGAATTTTGATAGGGATATAAGCTGTACTAAACGATGGGTTAACTGAAAATTCAATTTGATATAACGTAAGCATTCTATACTATAAAGTAATGAAAAGTCCTAAAAGAGCGATCCATCCCTGTGATCATGTAGAGTATGGGGTAATGGAATTTTTTTTACCAATTAATGTGCTAACCTACTTTACTTCACAATGGGTGAAATTGTACCCATTGACCTAAATTTTTGTGTTGCAGTACAAGAAGATATAAATCGTTTGCTAGTCTGGTGCGGAGACAACGGCATGCGAGTCAACAGCCAAAAATTGGAAAGTGATATCCTTCACCCGCAGCAATAGCGTAACTCTTCATCCATACTGCATGGGACCGTGTAAACCCAATCTGCGATCTAGGCGTTACGATCGATTCCATGTTAACGTTTTGTGAACACATATAGCTTATAAGCTTCATAACTGACAAAGCATCCACTGTGCTTGGTTTTATTCGTCGTCATGCTTCTGGTATCACCGATGTGTATTGCCTCAAGATAGGGTTAACTACCCCATTTCCGGCCTATTAAGCATAACCCGCACTTAGTGTTTCTTAATCTTGTTCAGTTTAGCACCAAACGGAATGTTATTATTACTGATGGCTTCCAAATTTATTTACCTTTCCGTACGTACCGTAAGATTTGAAAACGAGAAACTAATCGTTGAGATTAGTCCAACACTGCTTCTTGACGCCAAACTCGGCCTACGGATTTTAAACTTGGCCTAACGCATTGAAACGCAATTGAAACGCCAATGAATTCACTTCGGCCTATCGTATGAAGATAAAAATTGATTCGGTCGGAGCGCTTCTTTTGTTTTTGGGAATAATGGGTGCAAACTTTCATATCACGCGTTCTCATTGACTTCGTTACCGACTTGTTAACTAAAGTATCGTACCAAACGCATAATTGACTTGTTAACTCTGAAATCATGGATATATTTGAAGTTTTCTGCTCGATAGGCCCAAAATGGGCGATTAGGCCCAAGTAGTTCTCTACCCTACTATTCTGCTCGTTGGTTCGTAGTATCTTAGAATATGCTTCTCCAGTGTGGTCTCCATTTTACACTACGCATACTCTCACGATTGCACGGATTCAGAAAAGTTTCATGAGGTTTGCTTTACGTCAGCTCCCATGGAATGATCCAGTAATTCTTTCTAGCTATCCAGACCGATGCATGCTAATTGATTTGGAATCTCTCTCAGCAAGGCTGTAATGATTTTTTTTTTATATTAATTTATTTGTACAGGCTCAATCGAATAAACTTTACAGAGTCGAGTTATCATTTGCATTATACATGATGAATGTCTTAAATCTAGAGTTAAAGGAATTGAACCGATTACTCGCGGTCGTCTCGAGGTTAGTGGAGATTTACAATTTTTTGGATGGGGAAAGGGAGAAGGAGGTTTGAAATATGATTTATTATACAAATATTTAATTAATCCTAAAACATGAACTTATTTCTAATCATCTTGAAAACAAACATTAAAAAAAAAACTACACGCACAATACACAAACTAGACACAAGGTTAATCAAACTTACAATCTAAGGTTAGTATTCTTAAAGTAAACATATATGAGTTTCATAAACTCCAGATCGCGTCTAGCCAAAATATCCCGAACTGGAACATTAGGTTGTCTACCTCGAGCCCGAAGGGAATCGCACAGCTCAGATCTGACTCCACGATGCTCAGCACAAGACCAAAGGATGTGATCGGCGTCTTGGTAACCTTGTTCACATTCACAGAGATTGATGTCTCCCAGCCCAACACGAAACAAGTGAGCGTTTAACGAATAGTGATTGGACATGAGGCGAGACATCAGACGAATGAAGTCTCGACCCACATCCAACCCCTTGAACCAAGGACTCTTCGACACCTTAGGGATGATCGAGAATAGCCATCGTCCCAAACTCCCTTCACTCCATTTATTTTGCCAGCTGGCGAGCGAAAAATTCATTGTAGGCGATTTGTCGATCGTAAATATCGCCTTGCATAGCGCCCACCTTAGCAAGTGAGTCCGCCTTCTCATTGCCCGGAATCGAGCAATGAGATGGGACCCATGCAAAGGTGATGACAAAAGATCTTAAAGATAAAGCACTCAGAAGCTCTCGTATTTTCATGAGAAAATACGAGGAGTGCTTTACTGGCCTCATGGATCGAATAGCCTCGACAGAACTGAGACTATCCGTAAAAATAAAATAGTGATCTGGTGCAAGTGAGGCGATCGTTTCTAGCGTATAGTGTATTGCCGCCCGTTCAGCAACATATACGGAACAAGGAGCTTGAAGCATTCGAGAGACGCTATGAAATTCGTTAAAAATACCACAACCAGCGGTCGACTCTATTAGTGATCCATCTGTGAAGAACGATCTTGCGGAATCAACTTGGCCAAACTTTGCAGCGTAAATTGACGGAACAATCATGGAACGATGATGTTCTGGGATTCCACGA